CTAGGTGGTGTCCTAGATTGACACAAGATGTCTGGAGCTGTTATCATGCAGCACCTTGACTTTTGTAGTAACTTTCTTTCAGAGCAGATGGATTAAACCTGTGGCAGAGTGCCCCACACCAGGTGAGGGGGTTCCCATGGGAAGGTCAGTCACTGTTTATCTTTGCAGGGGCAGTGTAAATAATGCCTATGTTACAGCATTGTTCCTTGTCTTTATTTTCAGGAAGTAATACTGGATACCAGCGGTCAAGGATGATGGAATGAGGTGAGTGGTGACCAGTGGACAGAACAAGTTTTTATGGCTTGGGTCCCAGGTTCTGGTGCAGCTCTAAGCACCCACTGTTGTTTGTGCATTTCAGGTGGTCCACTTGCAAACACCCAGGGGAGGCCTGGTGGGTGCAAGCTTGATGTATAGGCATGATGCACTTCAGTCAGAGCAGGGAGGCTGTGGTTTCACAGTCTCTCAACGTGTTTTCTTCTTTGTTTCTCTGCAGGCCCTGCCACTGCCCTCAGAATGCCAAGGAACAGAGCAAACAGGTAAGCTGGTGTTTAGGTGGGGTGAATAATTAGTGAGTGGTCTGTGGCAGTGTGGTAAGCATGTACCTTTTTGTTTTGCAGGAATTCTCTGGGCCATCCGTCCAGATCATCCAGATTAGATGAAAAGTTGAGGTGAGCCTGAGGCAGTGGTGTGGAGAGGAGCCCCAGGGATTGGTCTTCTCAAGGGTAATAGTCATGTTTTTGGTTTTGTTGTCTTAGGTATCTGTGAGCAGCTATGGAGCTGAAGTTTGGAAACAGCAGGTAAGTGATAAGCTTTGGCAATTACAAGGGAGAGGGGGGATGTGGACAGGATCTCTTTGGGCAAGTGTTGTCACACTCTGAATTTTCTCATTCTGTTTCTTTTACAGCTGCCATGGGGAACGTATCAACATCCACAGTGCTGATGTGCTCTTTTCTGTCAAGGATGGATTTTGGCCACTTGTCTTCAGAGAGCTAAGTGTTCAGACTGGTGGTTGGGAGGAGGAAAATTTTTGGGAGGCAATTTAAAGTTAGTTTTGAGGGGAGGGCTGTTGTGGGACATACCCTTTGGGACTAAAGTGGGAGGGTTTTCCTCAGCATCACCCAAACCTTTATAGAGCTGTTCCAACCCATCTCTGTGTTGTCATGATCTTCGTGTCATCAGCCTTTGAGTCTTGATGTCATCCTGGATCTTTTTGCCCGAGGAGCCCACCTTTGGGTCTGGCACGATGGCCACGGTCACCATTTTACCTGCTCATCAGTGCTCAAGCACTTCCTAGGGTAGCATGCACACATCCTGAGCCTTGGCCACATTCTGCAATGTCCCTTTGGTGGCAGAGTCCTTCTCTAGGGATTCCTTTGTATCACCTGGCAGTCATTGGACCTACTCTAGGCCTACTGTGCTTCTCAAGCATCCTCTTAACAGCTTCGGCACTGACTTCTTGTAAGGAGATCTTGGCCTAGAGCCTTCTTTCCTTCGGCATCATCGGCCTCTGGCTCATCTTGCACTAGGAATCTTGGTTTCATGAGGTGAAAGTGCTGGGAAGTTTCAGCTTGTGTTGATGTAATGGATCTTGTGTCTATGTTCTGTTGTTTGTGTCCGTTGTCTTCTGTGTCACAGGGCTTTGTTGTGCCTCTGTGTTTTGTCAGCGTGGGTCTCTACTTGTGTACTTTTCCAGATCAGCCTTATTCTGGCATCTTTACATTCTTACTTCTTGAGGACAGAAGTACACAAAATGCTCTCATCCCTCTTCCTTCTCAGTTTTGGAAGTATCTTTTTTTCATGTGCCATTCCTCACTGTGGTAGTTCTGTAGGTTCTGTTGCCTCAAAGTGTATCAGGCTCCATTATTTATCTTCTGGAGAGTTATCGCAAGTTCTCACGTCATCTTTGCTTATATTTGGTGCATTTATGCTTAGAGCTGCCCTGCCCTGGCATGTAGAGTTATGGCTGGGTTGAACAGTTATAAAACTATAAACCTCTCTTGTCTGGGGAGTTTTGGGTAGAAAATTTATGGGCCTGGTGTGGGGAGAACTCTGTCAGTTACTCATATCTCACCTCACATTGTCTTGCAGGTCCCCGAGGCGGATTCCGATCCCTGCCGGCACCGATGCTACTGATTATCCCAGAACCTTTTGTTCCAGGTCAAGGAGCAGCAGCTGAAGGGCTGCAGTCAGTGTGTAAGCTGAAGAAGGGGTGTCTGTGAGAGTGTGTGTCCATCTGTGAAAGTGTGTGTGTTGACACATTTGGGTGCATGTTTTTTGCCTTTCATGTTTTTCAATTCTTAAATTGAGAATAAAAAACCATTCACCTACACGCCTCTTCTCACCTCCCTACAGCTGGGTTTGTTCTTCTCTATGTTCATGGCCCAGGTTGGGACGCAGACTGGGCATCACCAGAGCCAGGGTTTTGTCAGGCAAGGTGATTTTGTTTGAGGCTCCTGGGAACTACATTCCCAAGGAGTGCTGCAAATGTGCACCGATGGCCTGTGGTGGCCAGGGTGTACTGGAGCTAAGTGAAGGTGGGTTTGTTTGTAAATGGAGAATGAGTGTTAAATTTCTTACTTTATTTCTCTGTCTCTTTCTCACTTTATTTCTCTGCTCCTCTATTTCTGTTTCTTACTTTATTTCTAATTTTACTCATTCCACCACTGTCACACCACTCACCCTGGCTCTGCCCACCACCCCACCCCTCATCCTCCCTACAGCCAGGGTTTGGGGGCTGGGGGTGCACAGCAGGAGTTAGGGGTTACAGTGGGTATTGAGGGGTACAGGGTAGAGCAGTCAGGGCCTGGGGTCAAGGGTCAGGGGGGTTAAAGGGTCAAAAGTCAGGGTGTGAAGGTGAGGAGGTCAGAGAGTCAAAGGTTGTGGGTAAAAGGTCAGAGGTTGAAGGTAAGATGTAAGGGGTCAGAGGTTAGGGGATTGGGGAAAAAAGGTTGAGGGGCCAAAGGTCAGGGCTCATTAGAGGGTCATCACTCACAGGTCATTGGGGGTCAGGAGTAGAGGTTTCAGTGCAATAATCCTGGGTGTTTCCTGCTGTGGGGACAAGGGTTGTGGGCTTAGCAGCACCTGGGGCAGGTGGGAGCCACACAGGTGGGGACAGGCAGCAGTGGGGACACATCTGTCCTGGTTGCACTGTGCTGCTCCCATGAGAAACCCCCAGCACCTCCCTGTGCTCCTGCCAGGCCCAGGGAAATGCAGGAAAACATTAAATCATTGAGGAATGATTGAAATCATCACTGCCTGAGTTATCCTCCTGCCCAAAGGGCAGCATCAGCCCAGAGCCAGGAGCACCCAGCAGGATGTAGTTTCTCTTTTCTGGGAGCTGGAGGCAGGCTTTCCCAGGCAGGGGGAGCAGGACACTTTTGCAGCATTTTATTAGGAGTCCTGGTAAGCTATTGGATTTGGGCTGCCTTAGAATTGAAATAAGTCTCCTCATCTGTTTTAGGTGCTTTCAGCAAGTGACTGAAGTTGTCCTGAGATCCACCCTGTCAGTAGCAGCTTCCCATCCACCCTGGGAAACTGGGCAGGCTTTTTCCCCTGGAGAGATGCTCCAGCAGCACTTGGTAGTGAGTGTTGGGGATGCATCCTTAAGGCAGCTTAAATCCATGATCACCACAGGCTCTTGGCAGCACGGACTTCCCAGCTTAAGGGAAAAGGAGCCATCAAAATGACCCCTTCCAGTGCAGCAGCTGCTTTGTGCCAGAACCTGGAACCTGGCATTGATCCTGATTGTCCAGCTCTGGAGTCACTGAAGTGCTGCAGGATGGAAAACGGACAAGACAGTGCAGTGACTGCTCATGTGGCTTTTGGGCAGGGCAATTGGCAGTGGGTGTGTTTAGGGAGAGATCCACTGCTTCCCTTCCCAGCAAAGGGTGGGAAGCACAGCCTGGAAGATGAGGCTTGGGAAGGAACTGCAAGCTGAGAAGTGGCTCCAATCTGCTTTCAACTCCTGGAATGATCTGTGTTGGAAAGAACCTTCCAGATTATCCTGTTCAACCCCCTGCCATGGTCAGGGACATCCTCCATTTTCTTCCTTGGGAGCTGATGTGCCTTAAGAGAGAATGGTGAAAAGGCCATTATCCCTGACTGAATCTCTGAAAAACAGGGATTGAAGCTTTCTGAAATGGCCCAAACCTGCCTGCATATATCCAAATGCAGCCCCTAGAAAAATCTGTGTACAGTTGGGATGAGACCTCAGCTGCTGTTACTTGCCAGCTCACAAGTTGTGTAGCTCAGTCTGCAGCCGTGAGGGGCCAGGCTGTGTTTGAAACAGCCCCAGGTACCAGAGAACTGCAGTCATTTTCTAGCAGATGACTTGACTGGGAAGCTGTATTCTAAACTTTTGTCCACATGTATTTTATCTCCCACCTGGAGAAGCCTAAAGAAGCAGAGGTGGGGTGATCCTAACAAAAGAACATGCAAAGCCATCAGTGGCAGAGGACTTACAATTGAAGTGTGAGTGGAGGTGCCTTTGGGACACTTCCAGTTCCTTAGTTTAAGAATGGACTATCCTGACAAGCTTGTATGATCTCCAAAGCCTCTGCAAGTGTTCTACAGCCAGGGAGGGAGACAAGACTCTGGAATCTCTCCCCAAAAACTGTCTGCTGGTTCGTTTGACCAGGCATAGGAATAACTGTGTATTCCCTGGAGCTGTCCTTATGGAGAAAGGTTTATTTATGTGCCCTGAATTAATGCAGTGTATCTTCAAAATGATTTCATTGAAATGCCAGGGGTGCCAAAGGTTTATTTATGTGCCCTGAATTAATGCAGTGTATCTTCAAAATGATTTCATTGAAATGCCAGGGGTGCCAAATGCTTTCTCTGGCCAGAGCTCGGAGCCAGTCCTGTGGGAAGGGGTTTAATGCCCATTTTCCCAATCCCTTGAGGCAGCAGCACATGCACCCAAACATGCCCAAGGTTCTGGCAGGAGGCAAATCCAGGGCTTTGGACAGTAGGAACTTGCACGGCTCCTGTAATCCCAGACCTAGAGCTGTGCTTTAGAACTCCCAGGAGATACTGCCTCACTCAAAATTCATTTAAAGCTCAGCATCCCTCCTGCTCCCTTGGAATTATTGTTGCTACCATTGTTGCTCTTTCCCAAAAACATGATTATTATGGTGAATTCCCACTCTCTTTCTTCCATAGCCCTTTGCTTCCCAGAGGTGCTTCCTTCCCTCCCTGCTGCACTCTGCCTTTTCCAGGGGTCTCTGAGGGAGAAGTTCTTTGTCATTCCAGGGCTGAATTAGCTCTGGCCCCACTAAAAGCAGGAGGAATCATTTTATCCTTGTTTTTGGACACACATTTTGTATTTTCTCTATTTTGCTGACACCATGCGGTGCTCCAGCAGCTCCCAACGTTTCAGTGCTGCTCTCTTGAACAGTTCTTATTTGTAAAGCCACTACTTCCCTGCTGGAATCCCAGTCACAGCCCCCCAGAACAATGTGCAGGTTAAGGTCTTACACCTTGACCAGGACAATTTTCTGTCTCTAGACATGGAAAATAGAGGAAATAATGGATTGGAACCAGAATCCAGGCTTTTCCAGGGGAAAGTGAGGTAGTGTGCTTGGCATAGGCAGGAGTTGGTACAGGGGGTGCTCCCTGTTGGGTGACATATGTCTGGAACAGATCCTTCTCTTCCTCTTTCCAAAGTCCAGTGGCAAAGGAGTGAATAACTCACAGGTATGTGTGGTCTGGAATGAAAATTGTCCTGTTAAAATTAGGCAAATAAGAAAAAAAATATTGAAAAATATCTCTCTTATTTGGTGTCATTTTTTATTGATAAAACCTAATAGAGAACAATCAGAAAAGAAGTGAGAAAGCTAGGAGCCTTGGACTTCTACAGTGGACTTTATTTCCATTTTCTTCTCTTTCAGGACAGGAAAATCCACTTAGCTCCTCCCAACATTGCCAAAAACCTTTGGTGTTTGAGCAGCCAAATCCAACAGGCTGCACTGGAGAGTCCCTGGTTCCTGCCTGTGGTGTGGGGCAAGTCCTCAGCTGTCCCTAGAGTGTTTCTATCCAGAGGGATCTGCTCTGGTTCAGGCTGTCCTTGCAGTGCCCCACACCTGAGACAGAGAGAGCCCTGTCCAAAGTGGCCTTTGCCACCTTATCAGGAATGTGGCAGCCACAGCCCTGGGAGCAGACTGGAGGTGAGAACTGGGGCTGGGTTTGACACTGATCCAGGCCAGCTCAGTGGTTACCTGGGGGTGGGAGTTTAAGCAGGATCGGGGTGACAGATGCTGCATTTTGTGTACCCTGAGAATTTCTATTCCCCCCTTGTGATTTCCTGCTGGGATGTGGCAGCACAGGGAGCAAAATTCAGCTTGCACCTCCCATGGCCATTGCTGGCCTTTGTCTCTCTGTTGTGCCTTCAGAGAATTCACGGGAATTTGCTGCTGTCACTGCCACCCTGCCTGGGGGCTGAGTCCTGGCAGCCCTTGCCAGCCCCACACACGAGCTCCAGTGGTGCCTCTGCTGTGTTGGGGGTGTTTGCCGGGAATGTGCCTCATCCCTGGGAGTATCCTTTGGTTCCTGGGTGGCCAGATGGAGCTTCTGGGCTTGTCAGCTTCAGAGTTTGAGTGCAAAAGTCACTGAAAGGAAGAATGACAACGAGGTTTTTTCAGAGTGGTGCTGTCAGACCCCACCAGACAGTCTGTGCATTGTGTCAGAGGTTGTTGTGTATTTGCACTGCAGGGAATGACTGCCCCCTTCCCAACTCAGCCCAGGAGGTCCCAAGGACTCAAAGAGGAATATTTATCCTTTACTTCCCTTTGTGATAACTTAATCTTCACCCTGCCATGAGCAATTCTTTGGTTTTTTTTTCTGGAGAAATCCTCACTGCATGGGCAGTTTGTAAAGGAGCTCAGAGCTGTGTTTGGAGCAGAGAACTGCATCTGCCTGTGTTGTCACAGCCTGGCAACAACCATGTGGAACAGACTGGGCAAAGGGGATGGAGCAAAATCCCTTCATGGAAGAGGTTTTCTCCTGTGCAGATCAGGCAAGGGGCAGGAAGCAAACTTTGGGAATCAACTGCTCTGCCCCAGAAAGCTTCACTGCCATCACAGGAGTGTCCACTGTGCCCACTGCTCACAATCCACCCAACCAAAATCGAGAGCAAAGGTTGGTTTGGGTTTGAGAACTTGAAATAACTTTGAAACCAAAGAAATCACCTTTTTCTTCTTCTTTTAAATGCTGGATTTCCTCTGTGGATGTGGGCTGAGCTCTTGCTGAAGGGGAGTGTTAGGCCTGAAGGTCTGTGTGTTCGTGTTCTTCTCCCTGGGGAATTGGAAATAAAAATTAATTGCAGAAATGTTTTCTGAAACCTTTCCCCTTTTGTGCCTCCCCATGCAGGACAAGGCTGGAGAGGGGCAGGAGAAAGGCAAAGGGACCTCCCTGGTGTCACCAGGGCACCTGTGGGGAACAATGTACACTTTGAGGGCAAATGGAGGTGAGGAGTGGATAGTTGGGGAAAAATCTGAGTTCATCTACAGGGAAATAAGTAGGGGATATTTTGGAGGGAAAAGCCGAGGTGATGAGTTCACCCACTTCAGTGCAATTTGTGTTTGCACAAGGTGGGACCAGAGGTGAAAGTCAAACCAAAGCCAACCCCACTCAACCCCTAAATCCCAGGATAAATTCTACAAGCTCCCCATGGAGGGACTAAAATGACATCTAAATGGACTCAAGAACATGAAGAAGGTTCCTGAGAATCCCATTACAGTATTGTCACAGCATTTTTAACAGACCTTTAAGCTTTTTTATGACGACAATGCATTTCTCTGTTGGGATCACTCTGTGGGCTGTGGGGGTTATTTGGATTTGAGCTCCCTCACAGTGACCCTGACACTGCTCAGGAGCTGGTAGGAAAAGCCGAGTCAGAACTCCTGGCAGGCACAGGGTGTTTTCCCCCAGAGCAAATCCAGCCTGGCCAGGAGGGATCTGCTTTGGCTCCTGGCTTCTGCCAGGGAAAGGCTGTTTTCATTTGATGCAGGTGAGATCCTAGCAGCCTCATCTCCCACCCGTCCTGCTCTCAATTCTGTGCACAGAATTTGTCCTGTCAGCAGCAGCCAAGGGACACGAGCACTCAGACAATCCTGGCACTTGGATTGTCCCTTTGGAGGATGCTGGCTGCTGGGATTGAGATCATTCCATACATTTGCCTGCTGCAATTTCCCAGCCCAGGGACTTGAGCTGACAGGGCAGCACAAAGATTGTTCTCAGTGTGGTGCCAAGATTTGGGGTTCACTGTGGGCTTTGCTAGCTCAGATGAATTATACCCATAGTCCCAAATTCCCTGCTCAATTCCTGCTGGAATAACCTTACAGTGCCTCAAGTGTCAAGAACCAGCAGAGCTTCCAAGAAAGCTCAGCAGCATCAGGACAAGGAGACAGGTTTCTGTTCTATAGAATTGGCTACTTAAAACCCTCATCCCCCAGCCCCACCGATGCCCCTGGGGATCACTTGACAGAGTCCCCTGGAATTCAGCTGATTTCACCCCCCCTGGAGTTCGGGCTCCAGTTGATGTTTTAAAGCAGGGGAAGGTGGTGGCTGGATGTGCTCCTGGCCCTTGCTGAGGCAGCCCCTGTGCCCAAAGGGAACATCTCTCCCTGTGGAAGCTCAGCTCCTTTCAGAGCCTCAGCAGAGGCCTCTGCAAGTTCTTTTCCCTGAGGAAAAGGGATGCCCATACCACACTTCAGCACACCTCCAGTGAGACCCACCTGCAAAAGCTTTCCATCACTTCTTCACTTCCAAAAAAACTCCAAACTTCATCCCACTCAAACCTTTTATTTTAAGACATCTTCGAGGGCAATTGCTTGGGATTTAATTCCTGTGAGGGAAGGTTACCTTGGCTTTAATGCTGCGGATGGATGATGTCCTCAGGCTGGAAGGGAGGGGATTTGGGGTGACCAGGACACACCTGGCAGCTGTGTGGGAGCTCAGAACCAGGAGTTGCTGTCTGAGCCCCTCTGCAAACAGCCTGTGCCACCATTCCCAGGAACTGCCAGCTGTCATGTTAGGTGCCAGCCAGTTCCACCCTACAGCCATTGCTGGGGCTGGTGTGTAAAGCAGCACTAGCAGGAGAGAATGAGCTGCATTTGTACAGGAATTCCCTTGCTGCCAGCAGCCATTCCCATCCCAGGCAGGACCTTCATCATGAACCTGAGCTTGGCTCAGGCGCTTGGAGCAGGGTCCTGAGAAGGCCAAGATTCTGCGTTCGACGTCCAGCTGGGCTAATCATTTCTCATTTGCCTTGATGATCCTCATGGGTCTTTACAACTCCAAATGCTCCTGTGCTCTAGAAATAAAGAATAGTTTTCACTGGCTTTTTAACACTAGAGGTTTTACCATTGGAGACTGCGAGCTGCAGAGAAAGTGGGGAAGAGGGAGGAGAGCGTCATGTCTCAGCGGGCAGGTGTCGGATGAGCGGGCGGAGCAGGAGCGAGCCCCGGCAGGGCCCCAGTCCCGCACCGGAGCAGGAGCAGCAGCACCGG